TTAATTTACAAAATGTTCAATAATTGTCTCAAAATTCGTTGTTCTTGCATTTCCATACTAATTGCTTTCTATTCCCGCTCTTCCTTTCTTGATCTTCCCCATCTTCTGCTGCGTGACATTACAATCATGACTCGGGTCATATACTACTTATATCAATATAAGTAGCACGCACCACAATATAAAACATTTTCCACTTTGATCGAGTTGGTTAAGGAATTCTATTTTCTCAACATTTTCACGTCATTATTTCATTCTGGACATGATCATAAAAACATATGCATTCAAATATATAGAAGACAAAACAACAAACTATATTGATACTTTTAGAAAAGAAAAACAATCGTTGAAATTGAAAACATTTGGAAATTAGAAACCGGATAAAGTGATATGGTTTATATAGAATACCACACATGTTATCGTTTATTTTAAGATAAAAAAAGGGAAGTAAAGAAATCTGTATTCAATTTGAAAGGGGTGAGAAAAAGTAGAAGAATATGATTGCAATTATTAAATGTAATGCAATAACTTTTATTGTTTTTATTTATAATCTCTTGTTATCAGTGATTTGATTTATTGAGAATGTTCAATGTTTCATAAGAACACATTTATCATAGAAAGCTTTTAACTTTTTTTAATAAGAAGTTTAAAATTGATGTGTTCAATACCATGTTGAATAGTATAGCTAGGATCAGTTAGTTAAAAGATTTTAGCTATTCACTTCTTTTGTCGTTTTTTTTGTTGTTGTTGGCAAATAATACATTTCATTTTGGTTCTAACTCAACAATTAGCAGCTTTTCACTTTCTCTAGTTCATTGCAAATATTAATCATGAATTAAGTCAGTTTAATATCATTTGTAATGTTTATTCTGATCACAATATATTTTAGCTCTACCAATCTCGACATCATCATTTTGTTACCTTAGAATATCCATTTTAAAGTTGAATTATTCTATCTTTCAATATTCATTCACCGAGATCATTAAAGTCAGTTTACTAATTACTCTATTTATACCAATTCAAGTAATCGATTCTAATCAGAACAATTAATACAACGTTTGTTCATGATAACAAAGTGATTGATCATAGATTAAATGAAATAGCTAAACATAAATAAATGATAAAACACTTTACTATAATCTCTATTTTTAGGGTATTTTAACATAATGTTATCGTAGTAGTAATATTACACTGAAACATCTTTACATGACGATAAATTACAAACTATCGACAGAGTTTTATCCTTTTTAAGGTTCACGGTTTAAAAATTCATTGTTTTTATTTATAAAGAATTTTCTTGTTTGTTTTTTTCAGTGATGTGTAAATTTCCCATATGTTAGTTTAAAAAAGAAAACCCCAGTAGCAATAACAATTAGCAGTTTGGTAAATTATGTATTATATTTATTCATTGTCATACTATCACTGTAACAGTGATATTAGTCAATTTCACATGGTTTTGTACTCGATTAGATATAGTAAAGAATTCAGTAAAGAGAAAAGCTATGAATAACAAGTAATTGTATTTAACTTACATTATTAAAGTTCATATCTACTGTAACCAGTCTCTACACAAAACAGATTTGAAATTTTTTTTAGTTTAATGGGATATCTATTTAATTATGTTTGATATTCATACACATCTTATTATGTTGAATAATAAGATGTAAATGAATGGAAAGCCTAACATTTAACGTTCAGTTTGGTTACTATAAGTCTATAGAGAATATTTCCAGTAATAAGATAACTATTTATGATTATACAAGTATTACTTGATAAAATAGAGTTTTCTTTTCACAAGAGTCACTAAAGAAAATTATTTTTTTAGTCAGAAGTTGACAAATTAATTCATGAAGTGAGGTAATAATTTCAGAAGGGGTTTTGTGGAGATTGTAATAATTTTAAACAGTTGAAATCATGAGTAAATTGAAGCTAGATCACTATGGGAAACCTTGAAGCACTGGACGGCCGTTTCATCTTAGTATGGGACTCCTCAGCATTGCGCATCCACGACCCCGTCCTGCGGGATTCAAACTCAGGACCTATCAGCCTCGCGCCAGGCGCTTAACCAACTAGACCACTGAGCTGGTATCTCGTTAATGAATAATTTTTTCAATGCTTATGACAGAGATCGCGAAATTCGTAGTTGAATATTAAGACCTTTTTACTAACAGCTGATAATTGTATAGATGACAACATTTTGCAGTGGACATCGAATTCCAATGATCTATAAATAAGTATTTGAATCAGACACGTGTAATGATCATTATGATTAACATGTTATGACAAATCAAGCTGAAAAAAACAGATTCCCTACTAGACTCAAACTTGAAACTTTCAGGCTATATACTATAACTAAACTGTGAATGATTTCGCAATGCCAAGTCTTAACCAATACTCTATCGAGTGAGTGAAACAGATTTAGTTAGTGACATAACATCAGACCAATATGCGCTTGACATTTTATTTCCCGGTCGGGAAGGACCTAAACGTGTTCTTCGAATCGAGCCTAGAGGGCATTTCTTTTCTTTATGGTTGTCTAAAACTACTTCCATAATCGAATCTTGTACATATTTATTTAAATATAATGCGTTTCAATCAAATGAGTTAAAAAAACGTACGTTAATCACTGTAACAACTTTTATCTGTAAGTTATACAAAGAAGTGTGATGTACAATGTAAATGGTTAGTATATAGACAGGCTAGTTATTAAGTCAACATTCAAAATTATAGTTTGACCATGTACGTTTCAACGTTTTCGTGTTTGTTGTATTATTGAATGGCACCAATTAAGTTTTTTATAGTAAATACTGAAAAGTAGTCAGTTCGCTCTAATGACAATGTAATGCTGTTGGGTGATGATGCATTGAGCATTGAACATCACGAAACTTTAATCCATAAGATAACTGCTTATTAAGATGTATATACAAAATCGAACGTCGAAAAGTTATTTTATGTAATGTTTTCGAACAAAGACCTGGTTTTTCACAACTTTTCCGTCCTTTTTTGATTTATATAAATCTAACTTCTTCCGTATTTGGCATAAAACTTTAATGAAATTCCAACAATAATAATAAGTTCTTCTTCTATTAAAATTATAGTAAACAGTAAATAAAATTGTAACTTTTAACAATCGGTACTTCTTAGAAAATTCTAGCCAGTGCCGAAAAACGGAACAATCACGAGTGAAATAAAACATTCAATGTATATTAGTGTACTGTAAATTGTCTATCATTCAGTATTTACTATTTTAATAATCAAATGTAGAATTTTGCTTGTCAGTAGTTACATCATTTTTTATGTGTTGTGGATTTCAAAGTTTGCTACATTGGAAAAAAAAAACTAGTGGATAAATATTAATTAGCACAAATTTCGGTTAATGATGTTCGGCAGTTATAGTCATTCGTACAATTAAACTAAGGTAACTAGTAACAAATTGTGCTGCAATGAAATAAATAATTTAGAATTACCTTATCTAATATACATACTTACTTTACTTGCTTACGCCTAAAGTTTGTTACAAAAAAATAATAATCTAACTCAGACAATGTACTGATGTAACACTGGGTATTTCTTCATTATTCAAATAAAAAGGTATGAAAATAAAACATAGTTCTGTAGACTTTCAATTTATAGAATCCAATATTTCTCAGGTGTTTTGTAATACGATAGCAGTCCATAAGGATATAATGAGCTATTATCAGCACAAAGTTTGTGCTGATAATGTCGTTCAGAATAATGGAGAAAGCTCCACGATCAAACTAATCAGCTCAGAGAATAAAACTCTACCAAAATCCACCATCTCAGCTACAAATCGTCTCCACTATCTCATTATCCTATATGAGGATACAGAATTTTGGGTTATATGTATAGCAGCAATCATATGTACTCACTCATTCGGTGATTATGATAATTATTTTATCAGCTATGTTCGTTCAAATATCGCCATGCAAACATTTCCGTATATAGATTAAGATAGTGCTCCAACTGCTAAATTTTAAGTAAAAGAGGGATTTCACTTATGAATGAAAATGGACATGTCACTTGCTTTAGTTGCACAAAACAGACTAAAATTATTGGACGAAACTCTCCTATTTATTTTAAATATGGTACTTTTATTTCAAATGATTGATTTTTAACAATTTTACACCAAACAGTGCAAAATTATAAACACTTGTTCATATTCAAGAACCGTTGTGCCTTTGGAAAACAACATGTAGATAAAGTTTCAAAATAAAATACCAATGTTAATCTTGAATGTTATTATTTGAATTTGTCAGGACTGAAATCTGATTTCCTTACTTTGATTAATATCAAGATGCAGATTGTGTGATATTACAAATAATTTCGACGTTTTGAAACATCATAAAACTTATATTGGCCTCCGTTTGAACTTCCCAAACAACGAATTTTACTACGAATATAAAAAACTGTAGGTCACACAGGTATGAACTTTAAAATATTTGACAGGCCTTTTAAAGTTCAATACCGAAAGAACTATTGAAAAGTTACCTACTCTTAAAGCTCACAGAGTTTCGGACCAATGCAACATATCTTAGACAAGAGAAATAATGTAACTTCTCAATAAGTTGTGGATAAAACACCTCATAAAGTCAAGTTGATTGCCTATATATTATCACCGATGGAAAATTTTCTTGATGTAGAAATAAACAAGAATCTAAATGTCTTGGGGTAATATACTTATAAAATATAGATTAACGAAAATTTCATATAACATCAAAATAGCTGACTCTAAAACCATTGGATAATTGCTACTGTACAAACAAATTACCGTCTCATTCATCTGTTTCAATCAGGAGAACCGGTTGTAAAAACACCATACCCTTATGTTAAATCTTACCAGTAATTATTTTCAACTTCCGAATCATAAATCTTTGTCAATAAAACTTTTTAAGCATATGCACTAGTTTTCTTAAATTTATATCTGAGTATTCCTAATACTCATATTAAGCCTAATCATCACCTTTTCTCATTGTTTTCTTTAGTGAAATTGAAAGTTTTCATTGAATGTCGTCGTGACTGTTCAACTAAATGTAATCATAGTCTGTTTGTTTATTTGGCTAATGAAGTAAGTAATATTTATGATATTTGAAATCAATATATTGATTATATTGGGTAATATAACTAATGTTATTTCATAGAATCTTTCTACAACTTCAATGCATGTTAACCATTCACCAGTGATGTATATATTTCCAATTTTAATGCTTATGCTAATAAATGTGCCAATATTATTCAATCAATTACATTGGGGAAAATTACACAACATATCACTTTAACATAAAAAAAATCGTGAACAAAGAAGCCGAAAACAATTTTGAAAGAAAATAAAATGAAACTCCACCTTTCTTTTATTACCTTAGCATGATAGGAAAGATATCTAATGTTTTCTCAGGGAAATTTATTAAAAATGTAACTAATAAAATGTAGTCATTTCTTCTTCTTCTTCTTCTTCCAACGTACATGTAAATTTGTAGTTATATGCAGAATGTGAATATTTTATGTTATATTTACTAACGTGTAAAATAATGTACATCGTGTGTACTAGTCTTAGAGTGAATCACTTTCATTGTTCTTTTGATTTTATTTCAGTATTCTACATTTTGTGATTTCATTTTATGGTTGGAAATATTTATGATCATAAACTTTGCACTGAATGAATAGTTTGAATGTATCGTACCAGCAGAAGACAAACACGGTTCCATCACTTGTTTACATAAATAAAGTGAGTAGTTACAGAAACGACTTCAATGTTCAAATCAATACTTATTAAACGGAGATGGTGAAGACTTTCAAATTAAGTGGATGATGTTTATAGAGTTTCATTCTCTGAGTTAGATGATTTAATCGTGAAGTTTTCATTATTCTTCTGAGTAACATTAAGACAGACATTTCTAGAAAACTTTGACATTTTCTGTTTTCATTCTTTACTGTTCGATCCTTTTGTCTCTCTGCTGCCAGACATTCTGTTCCTGACTAGCATCATATACTACTTATGTCAATCTAAGTAGCTCACAGCACAGCTGATTATGGTTCGTCGTGAGTTCCAAACGAACGAGGTGCAATGCTGAGCGTCCACCCGGTGATATTTTAGTTTTACAAATAGAAATTTATTTATGTGTGGCAAATCGGATAGTAAGACTTTCATAAATCATATCACGAACAAGCTATAGATTTTGTTTTCTTGACGTTTTTCACATTTGGAACTTTCAGGTTATTTTATAAATAAAATGAATCGTTTTTTTAAGTATTGATCATTAAATCTGTTGACTGGTTTCTTAATATAAAATATAAGTGTTTTTTGTTAATAAAATGATTAAACGACTTAATTTATTGTTTGTCCCGTTCACTAACACTGAAACTAGTGTTTTGAAATATTGTCCTATCTATCTATGTCCAACGGCATCCTCTGTACACGTCAATCATGAAAATGATTATAAGATAAGTAACACTTGGAACATAATTGATACATATTTTGAATACATGTAGTGTATTCAGGTGAATAACTAAGTAAGAACCAAAACATTTTCTTGGAGCTTTCACCATATGTGTATGTTATTTACTTCATTCTTATACTCATTGTAAAAATAAACTAAATGGAAAAAAAGTTTCTCATTTCTGAATCACATCTTTCATCCACTATTAATTCTTCTTACATCATCATTCTTTATCGCAGTAAGTAGTTATCCTACACTTTCTTTGACAGACTTTAGCGCTTTAGCTTCTTATCTATACTCCTTACATTACCTGATTACCTTAGTGAAAATGGCTGGAATAAACTCTCACGCTTCTTAATTACAATACATTTTACAAAACAAAGGTAGTCTCTTTTCTTATTTGACATCAATCATCAAAAATCTCCATTTTTTTAATGGAAACTTTCTGTTTATTCTAAAATAATGATTTGTAAGTCTTACCTCTATTTGTCACACCATATAATATTAAGTAATCACTGAATAAAAGTGTCTACTATTTTCAATACATTCACCTCGAGCTCAATATTCTAAATGAAACACAACGACTTTGTTCAAAGAATGAGAATCTTTTTGAATATTTCCTTATAAATCTGAATTAAATTACTAGATCACAATGCATAAAGTTTTCACCATAAACATAAATAAAAGTTTGATTTTAATGTAAACACAATTTTCATCTGGCAGATCTGTGGAGGACAGGAGGTCACCATGACTTTGTAAAGGATATGTACTTTCGATTGATTTTTGTAAATCGTCTTCATCACAATCTCTATTAATGAAGCTTAATCACGTAATCAAAATAGTCCTAAGTATTCCATTGACACCCATAGTTACACTAACATGAATTTTCCTAAATTAATAAATTCTAATGAGTAGTATTGCCTTTTTGCACTAATTATTTTTTAATTTTATTTTTTTACTCATAGAATGAATGTTACACTTGTTTGATTGAGTGTATGTCTGCCTTTACACAACAAGCGGAGAAAGTTGGAGTAAGTCAACTTTTTTCAGGATTATTAGTAACTATTTAAAATACATGGGTAGTTAAGATAATTATTCGTAGTTCCCGATCTTGATCTGATCCTATCGAACAGATGGGCTATTTAGTCACTAAGCTGAGTAGTTATACAATGAATTAACCTTCTGGTATGATGGAGCATGAAATAAATATGATAGTTGGTAATTCCATAAGAGAATAAATGGCTCATAGCATTTTAACAAATAAAATCAGCTCACTTAACAAATTTTTCTCCATTGTAGCTTCAGTGTTTAAAAGATGGATGCAGTTGGTGCGAATCTTAATGCTCAGATTTCGTGTTGGATAGTAAGCATTAATAGAAATATTAAAAACCTTAAATGTAATGATTTAATCTCCAAAATTCAAACTTAGTTTACTAACCAGAAGTATTCCAAATGAACTACCCGAACAGTAGATACCCAGTCATATGAAAACATTATTCGGGCTCTTAACCTAACGATCGTTGTTTAGTAAGATTTGATAAACACCAAGTTCATTTGCTATCAATAATTGATAGGTTAATCGATCGATCAATTATAATTAAGTTAGTTATTTAGGGATTCTTCTGCTAATTGAATAGATTAATGACATCGTCTGAGACTGTGAAACTAGATGATATGAGATTCTAAATTAACCTGGGAGTATCCCTTGTTAATGATGACTAGTTAACATGGAAACTTCGTGAAAGTTTCCTTTGACCACTCAAACATATGGCAGCTGTGCTTTGAAAAATCTCACCATTTACGGCGTCTAAAAGTAATTGTTTGTTAGTGAGGTAAGCATAATTCCAACTCACCATGAGTTTAAAATTAATTTTCAGCTTTCAAAGACTACTTACTTATTCAGTTTACTTTATCAAACCATCATATTATTAAAGAAAAGCCTTAAAATGAATAATATTTGAAAAATGACACGAAATAGTCATTCTCTACATTAAATATGATGAGTGTAAGGTTGACTACAAAAAAAAAGAAAATAATAGACCACTAGTTTCTAAAGTAACTGAGTACAGACAATAGATACGTTGTCTAACGAATAATTAGATCCAAATAAAAAAGTTTAAAAACAATTTGATAATTTATAGTACGGAATTATGTAACTGTGGTCAAAGTTTTGATTTTTATACAGAGAACTATTAACCTCAGAAGCCTTATTGACAAAAAGTGAAACAAACAGAAGGGAAAGAATAAGTTTCCATTCAATTAAGCATGAGTTTATCACTAGTTTAGATATACTTGTAAACAAATTCCATTTAGTGTCCACGTGTAATTATGCTCTACACATGAGAGTGGAAAATGATATTTTAGTACGTTTCTTCATAAATCTATTGATATATGTACATAAAAAGATTGAAAATATGTAGATAACTAATGATATTTGGATTAAATGAACAAAATAAATGGCAAATCAGTGGACAATGAGTTATTTACAAATCATTTGAGATGTATTAGATGATAATGTATTTCCTTATGAATAAAGTCTAATATATTTCAATGAATTCATAGCTGACACATGAAATCTTTTATAGAAATTTGTTTTCATCTTCTAAACAAGTTTGGATCAGATTAAAGAAACATTTACAATGATCTAAATAAACTTAAAGCCTAAATGTTCACAGAACATAAGTTATAATTAAGGCTTCATTATGTATATATGATGGCTAAATATTGAAATTTACTTTATTATCAAGATGTTTACTTAGCTACTATATGTTCATTAGATAGCTATATGTAACAAATAAACCTGCAAATACCAATTATCCATTTATTCATTCGTATATTAAATCAATAGGAATAAATGCAATGTTTTATGTAGTGAGTTAGCAAGTTAACTGTTTTCTTTACCTTATTACAATATGGATAGAAATAGATCCATGCATATTCCGCTTTATGACGTAGCTGGTAGAAATTAAACGCGTATAACATCTACGCTTGAAGACAATCTATGATTATGCAGATTTTTCTATCGCTATAAATGTAATGTTTTATGTAGTATAGGCTGATCATTTATTCACCTGTTCAAAAATTGACTTCAGAAAATTCACAAACAGTTAGTTCAACTTATATATAGTGTAATGAGTCTTACGTAGGGGCTCGAAAATAATAAATATAAGATTGCAAAAGTTAAAAATAGTGATATAATATCATGTATGCTAACCATTATAATCTAGTTACTAACTTGTCCATTATCTTTTTATCAAAAGAAGCACCTACTATAAACAAACCATAGTAAATAATAATGGTAAACATAAATCAGTTACGATGGTACAATTTCCAAACTTATGCTTTAAATCACTTGAAAGTGTATTTAAAGCACCAGTTGATCTATTTTGTTTCTTGATTAAGCTTAGAAATCACGCCAACAATATCGTTCTTTTGAAAACTAGATATTCCAGTGTTATTATGTTCTCTTTTAATTAGGAATGATGCAATGTTTTTGAGAGTATCATATGCTTACATCCGTGGTTTTTCTCAACTTTATGGATAGAACCAATTTTGAAACAAACTGGTGAAATACCATTCATCAAAGACTGTTGCAGTTCGTCAAATAAACAACAAAATCCCTCATAAGCCAAACACATCAATTTCGCAAAAAGATTCCATATGGTTTCATCTTAGTTGATAAGTATAACTATGTCACTTCTCAGATATTCATTTAGTTTTATTTCACAATAGGGTAAAAGCTTTAACAGCCTGTTATTCAGTTTACTTTTTGTAGTAGTATAACTACCTACATGGAGTGAAATAAGCATAAAAATAGTTAAATGATTTTAACAAAAATTCGTACATTATCTAGTTATCCAAATGCTAATCCGGTCAAATTAAAAACAATGAATTTCTTATACTAACAACTTAAAAGTTAATGATTTCAAAATTTTACATTAACCAAATTTGCTATATACTATTCATCATTGACTCAAGTTAACCAATCAAGATATCCACTTTCTTATTTGGATAAATTGAAAGGGGTGGTTTATTAAACGGTAAGTGTTCAGGGTCAACCACCAAAGAGCCAACACAGGGGATTTCTATCTATCACATTTAGTCGATCAGACGAAACATTTGATTATTTCTATACAATGACATACATAAATTTGTCTAGGTTATTCGAGCTGTAACCGGAAGATTCAAGTTTTGAGTTTCCCAGAAAAATCTTTTAATTGACAATGAATCTAGGTTCATTGATTATTTTAACCAGATTCTGAGTGGCTGAAATTTGTGTATTTTAACCTCTTTCCTTTAATACACTTACCACATAATTTATACTTTGATCTTATACACTTACAGATTCAATTAAAGGATATAAAGAAATCAAACGATGCTAATTTATTATCTGATAGTTTGTATGCACCTGGAAAGAAAGTAAGACGTCGTCATCTTCGTCAAGACCATATCACACAAGAACAATTTAGAAAAAGATCAGAATGATAACTACAGATTAGTACGATGAATATTCCTAATGTCCATCTAAGTTCTAAAAACTGAAATAGTGACCATAATTTATGACATTGGATGAATAAACATAAACCAACAATATATTATAACTATCATTATTATCGAACTTTGTAATAATAATAATAATAATAATAATAATAATAATAATAATAATAATAATAATAATAGTGACAATAATAATAACTATATGGTGTTCTTGTAAAATTTTACATCATATTTTTTATTTCATTTGTTCACTGTCATCATCATTTTAGGGAACATCTTTTCATCTCAGTAATCATCATTAACAGTCGTTCTTAAAAGCACTTCTCCCATTTCTTGATATATGTTCAATTAATACAATTATAAATCATCAAAAACGAAGTTTTTTTTCTTTTGAGAATCGGTAGGGTAACGAAATTTCTACAAATTTTCATTGAAAATTTATCATTATATTACATTTTTACAGAAATCTGTATTGACCAGTTCCGGTAAAAGTGTTGTTGATTTGCAGGAAAATCTCTGTCTTGGTGTAATACTTCAATAGTTTTCGTATCTGATACATTTCGAAGTAAAACTAGAGATTCCCAGGCTACTAGTTTTGAATTTAATAGTCTTCAGTTTACAAGCATGACTAGTTGAATAATATAATCATTTTATAATAGACAAAAAGCATGTAATTCCGTGTTATAGTTGAGTGGTGTACAGTTGTAAGGCACAAAATATCCTATCGCTTTGAAAAAGATTAAGAGTTTCAATAATAATATAATGGTGACTTATGTACTATTAGCTTAAGAATATTTTTAAAAAATTATTCATCACAGGTATACATCTTTACATATATCAGGTAACGACTGATATATCTCAAGTACTATATCTCAACTGTGGATTTATGATAGCATTATTTAAAAGAAAAACAACAACCAATTAGTCTTTCCTGAATTTTAATCCCAGTAAGTTTTTGGCAGTTTTACACTCAGTTTTCTAGTCTTCAGGTTTTCTACTTTCAACATGAGTAAACAACCGTTCTTGTTTAAGCTTAAAGTCGATGCATCCTAAAAACATTATGAATTATTTAAGCTCTGTCCATCGTATGGGAGTGAGATACACAGGACGTTTACAACTGCCAACCATATGGATATGCGGATGTTTGATATGAGGAAATTTCCAGGCTTTATTAGTCTTAGAAACCATCATTTTTTATTGTTTTTAAAGAGTATGTATGATCACGATTAAAACTGTGAATTGATTGTCTGAAGTGTTTTAAAAGTAGAAAATATTTTCGATGAAATCTGTTACCCAGAGGTACTTTTGGGCCATGAGTATGCAGATGAAATTACTTTCATGGTGAGAATGTGTATATATAGTCACCTGTGTGGGTTGGAATCGCCGTGATAGGCTTCGTAAGTCTCCATTAAATAACAGATTCAGTAGTTTACATTACATTATCTCATCCGTAGTGATGATTACACTTTTCACTGATCACGAATAGCTGCTGTTCAGCAGCCACGTTACAAGTAAGAAGAATTTGGCTTGATCTAATGATACTAAACCAATAATCGTGTTTAGTCATCGCTCTTGCTGAATTTGATGGTGACCCTTTTTATCTAAACTGCTTGGTAAATGGTTTGGTAAAATACTAACATAGAATTCGTTCCCAAGAAGGCAAGGTTATAACTAATCAGATATAAGATAACAGGTTTAAGATTTTGGCGCTAAATTCATCCATTCACTTGGTTAAATAGAGTTTTTACATTTTAGCTGATGTAATTTCGTTATGAAAACCCTAAATCTAATTGCTAACCCTACTTTTCAACAGTAATTCCTCTCACTAGCTTATGAACCTCATTTCATCATAGTAGATGGGCCATTTCAAGGTCACTTTGAAGTAGCTCGAGAACATCCACAAATTATAGTCTTATCATAAACAGTACAAGACTACAAACTTCACTGATTTCTAACCAGGTACCATCAGATTACTCAGCCGATTAAAATAAGCTGGATACCTTTTATGTTATAAAACCAATCCTTCACACAATCTTAACTGTCTCATTCATATTCAGTAAGGCTGTTGTCATCGAAATAAGAATTTCGACATTACTGAAAATTTTTTTGTTTAATATAACCAAGCCTCATTATTTTGCTGACATTGTACATGACCTTACCTTGTGACAGGAAAACAATGTAATATGGTTAAAAGCACTAATTTGCATTCCATTAGCTATCGTTATTTTTCGAAAATAAAATCCCATAACAACTCCGGTCAATTATTATGCCTCAACAGCGAAATTGTGTTGTTAGGTATATTGACAACCAGAATTGGTCATGTTATATTTTACAAACAAGCATTGTCGTTGTTAATTGCTATTCATTCTACTGATGTCTGGCTCCAAATCCCGGCTCAATGTATTCCTTGGTCATTCACTTTTCCCCTTCCATCCAAAATCCCCAGTTGCGACTTACCTCATGATGCTGTTCAGTGATTCTATTCATGTATGTGGTCAATTTTTTAACTAAGCATACATTATAATCAACGGACCACATGATTAGGGTGTATTGCTATCCTACTGTCAATAAAATCTTAATTGGTTCCAGTTAGGACGGCGTACGTTACTGGTTCCTGTTTCCAAATGTTCATGATATGTAACCACATTCTGAGGGGTATATATCGTAGCATATCAGTTTTACACAAACCTGACTATTATTCAAGATAAATCATGTGAAAATCACAGTATTCAGACATTATTTTGAATCAATTAAAGTGTCAAAATAAGTCCCCATTTACCATCTTCGTGTTCTTATTTCTCATCCGATTCACAATACGAAGTAACAATCAACAACTCAGTTAAGGATTGAGCAGTTCACAGAAACATTAATCCAAAGTCATAAGCCACAACCACAAGACAAACGAATGAAGGAAATAAGTAGTTACTTGATTGCTACGTTTTTCATGGCCATGTCCTTTTTAGGAAGGTTTACGAATTAATGTCTCACGTATATATGAAAACGTCGTGAATACTGAAACCAACTGTCTGGTCCACATTTAAATAGTGATATTTTAACTCTCTGAGTTGAATTTATTTTATTGTTCATTGATTGAGCAACGTGATTGATGTTTTCGCTTTAGATGAATTTATTTCCGCTAAAGTAATAGCCGAAAGTGTCTTTATCCAATAAATTATTTTTTTTATCATCTGTATATTGGTTCTTTTTTGTATTTGTTGGCACTATTGACTTTGATAGTTTACAGTCTTTCACTCTTATCTGGTTATCGATTTCTTCTGTCTCTAGGTGTTGCTTGTGTTTAGTTTATTTTTGAAAGCTACTGAGTGATGACCGAACAGTGGAAAAACAGCGATTGCTGACGCTCAGTTTTCGCCACCCTACGGAGAATGGCATGCAATAGTAGGGACGGTATCACGAATCTCTCATCTAACACCTGCGGCTTTCAAACGGTTTAGTAAATGTAGTCCACTGACTTATTTAGGCTGACGGAGGAAGTGTAGTGACTCACATTTATCACGAGAACACGTCTGGTTTAATAAAAACAAATATTGTTATAACCAATTGTACCAGTGATTGTTTTAATGTGCTTTTGTTTAACTATTCTGATTATAGCCATTTTGTGCTTCCATTACCTTCCATTATTGTTCCGCGGTTTTTGCTACTGTTCGCACGTACTTCGTTCTCCTGCTTTCGCTTTTACCGTTCTTGGCACGATCTCGGGATTCATTCGATACCACGAGATCGCCAAAGGAATAAATCTGGTTACGTTCAACCTACGCCTTCTGATTTTCTTGGCACGTGTTTTTTTGGTAGCGGTGTTCATAGTCAATCTCGACTCGACGCCACGCTACAGAAGTACGTCTTGATTCGATTACGTTATTTCTGAGATTCTTAGTTCATACTATAATTCAAATACTTCTAATTATCATATTGGCGTTGTGATGGAGCCTGTGATTGAACAGTTGGACATAAATTCAGATTTTGATGCTTTTAAGGATTACTTTGAAAGGTTCAAAATCTGGGCTATGACCAAGGAAGATGATGAGGATGTTAATATTGTTGCACATTTCTTCACATTCATCAGAAAAGAAGCATATACCTTAATAAAAACTCTAGCTTTACCGTAAAAGCCGATTTCGCTTGCTTATACAACTCTCAAGGAACTACTGCTAGACTATGTTCAGTATACAAATTTCGAATGTCGGAAAGGAGGAAGATTTCATAAGATGATTCATGAGGATATAAAAAATCCCACTACATTACATCATCCCAACCCACTGCATACTCAAGGTTATACAGATAATTTATTGAGGAGTTGCGACGATGTTCACGAAGATGGGCACAAGTTTGGTCAATGTTTGTCCTGTGGCAGGTTCCACTCCTTTAATTAATGCAAATTCCGTAATTCTAAATGCTTTAAATGTGGTGATATTGGACATATTCAGTCAGTTTGTAATACTACTGTTCATCTTGTTGCAACTACTATTAAGTCTTGTAATTCTGATTCTATCAAGCTAAGTGCTCCTAATGATCATTTGTCTTTATCAATTATTTCAAAAGACAGTGTAGATTCATATAGCAGTTCAGAGTTAAATGAAACTCAGAATTCTTGCGAGACAACAGTTTCTAATCAATCGAATAATCAGATTTCTCATGTTATTGCACCAGATATGATTCCTTCTAATGATTCACTTATTTTTGACGAAATTCTTTGCAAATATGAAGAAAATATGTTGAATGAAGCCAGTCATGATAAAAAAATTGATGTAGTTTTGATAGATGCTGCTTTTTCTAATGATCATTTAGTCTGCAATGACACTGTTAATAAATTTGAGGAAACTACTTCAGAAGAATCAAATCTTGATGTCATATCAAATATTATTTGTCCTCATAATGCATTTGTTGTTTGTGGGAAACTTGATCAGTGCGAAGAACGAGTACTTAATGAGCTCGAGCTTGATTACAATTCGGATGATTTCATATCAACTGCTGTTTATCCTTATCACGACGTCACTTCTGATGTTTACTCTAGTCAATATGAGAAATATGTTTTAAATGAAGCCACATCATTCATAAATTAGGGATATAAAGATCCAACATTATTTCGTAGGGGAAGGACAGTGTTGGGAAATATGTGCTTTCAATTCTGGATAGTGTTTTCGGTACACAATCGACAGGGCGATTGTAAACAATCCCGGGAACCAAGTGAATCTGTTCTTATTTCAGTTGTTAATGCCAATACTAATGAGCAGATTCTAGATAACACAGAATTTTTATTCAATTCAATGTCGGACAGACACAGGATGAACATAAGAAGAAGACGTACAGTCGATTACAAACACTTAAAATCCGATTTATGTTGTGGCGGATGTGGTATTTGAATGAACTAGTGATTCCTTTGTACTTCTTGAATGTTTGATTTCGAATTCCAAATACAGTGCATTCGTTCGTGCTTATCTAAAACTTCTTGATCCGAATACGTTATTTCTGGGATTTTTAGTTTATACTATAATTCAAATACTTCTAATTATCATAGATATGTTAGTTATCTTTCATAGAATAGAGGCTCAGAGCCGAGAACTCGTTCCGAGAATGAAATCGAATTGATAATAAGGCTACAAAATCAGCTAACGCCTCAAAATATTTGTGGAGTTACTGTGCTGAAGGTTTATAGTCTAGCTAGCCAAATAGACTTGAAGCAGAATCAAAATAATCCACTAAAAGTAGCTTTTGAACCTCTTAACGAAAGTGATTTAATACTACAGAACAGATATAAACTAAAGGGATCAAGAGAATTTTGTCCGCAATGGCTTGACGCACTAAGACTGTATAAAGACGAGAGGCCTAATGAACTGAAACTAAGGTTAGATGCTGAAATGAAGAACCTTCAGATTATAAACTTCCATGTGCGAAGGTTTTGACTGAGAATGATGTCAAAGCCACTGTGGATACAGAACGAAGTCATTTAAATTGTCTTCAGATCTGTTTAACAAATGTTCAGTGCTTTCCCAATAAGCGGTCGGAGCTTGGTGTGCGGATATAATCCTTCAAGCCGGATGTGAACGCCGTCATAGAAACTTGGTTGACGCAATTTGTAGACAGTGAGGAACAGAATTTTAAACGCTTCCCATAATTAAGAGACCACAGAATCCCATTCGCCATTGTTGATAAACTTACATACTTACGCCTGTTACTCCGAATGAAGCATAGACCGTCAACCAGCATTCTCCAACTCACTATGTCCTGGGCCTTCTTTTCTAGTTCCATCCAATTCTTGTTCATTTTTCTCATGTCTATCTCCATTTTTCGGCGTAATGTGTTCATTGGTCTTCCTCTTCTCCTTTGGCCTTGAAGATTCCATGTGAGGGCTTGTCTAGTGACGCAGTTGGGTGATTTCCTCAATGTGTGTCCTATCCACTTCCAGCACTTCTTCCTGATTTCTTCCTCCGCTGGGATCTGGTTTATTCTCTCTCACAGTACGTTGTTGCTGATGGTGTCCGGCCAACAGATCCGAAGTATTTTGCGTAGACAACTGTTAATAAACACCTGTATCTTCTGGATGATGGCTTTCGTAGCTCTCCAGGTTTCCGCCCCATACAGTAGAACTGTCTTGACATTTGTATTGAAAATCCTGACCTTGGTGTTGATTGACAGTTGCTTTGAGTTCCAGATGTTCCTCAGTTGTAAATATGCTGCTCTTGCCTTGCCGATCCGCTCCTTCACATCTGCATCAGATCCACCGTGTTCATCAATGATGCTGCCCAGATATGTAAAGGTTTTTACATCTCCAAAATCTTTTCCGTCAATTGTGATTGGGTTGTTGCATGATGTGTTGTATCGGAGAATCCTGCTTTTCCCTTTGTGTATATTGAGACCTACTGCTGCCGAGGCTGTTGCTACACTGTTCGTCTTCTGCATTTGTTGTTGCGTTTGGAATAGGAGGGCCAGATCATCTCCGAAGTCTAGATCGTCCAACTGCATCCTAGATGTCGATTGTATCCCGTGCTTCCCTTCACATGTTGATGTTTTCATGATCCAGTCGATCACCATGAGGAAGAGAAAGGGTGAGAGTAAGCAACGTTGCCTAACACCGGTCTTCACTTTGGACGACTTTGTCAACTGTCCTCCATGCACAATTTTGCAGTTTAACCAATCACAAGAATTCCGTATGACATTCACTATCTTCTGAGGCACAAAGTAGTATCGAAGACGATTCCATAGTGTTTTTTCGTAGTCAATGAAGTTGATGTAGGGCGATGAATTCTATTCAATTGATTGTTCCACAATGATCTGTAGAGTTGCGATTTGGTCTGTACACGATCTATCCTTACGGAATCCTGCCTGTTGGTCACGAAGTTGGGCGTCTATGCAGTCCTTCATCCTGTTTAACAATACACTGTTGAAGACTTTTCCCGGTATTGAGAGAAGAGTGATGCCCCTGTAGTTATCACAGTTGCTGAGATCGCCTTTCTTCGGTATTTTGATCAGGAGTCCTTCTTTCCAGTCTTTTGGTACTTGTTCCTCATCCCTAATCTTATTGATGAGAATGTAGAGTATCCTTGGAGTTGCCGCCACGTCTGCTTTCAGTGCCTCTGCTGGAATGTTATCCTGTCCTGCTGCTTTGCCACTCTTGATTTGTCTGATGGCCATGCAGATTTCTTCAATTGTTGGTGGGCCAACAACGATTGGGAGGTCCGTGGGTGCTGCTTCGATGTTGGGTGGGTTCAGTGGGGCTGGTCGATTCAAGAGTTCTTTGAAGTGTTCTACCCACCTGTTTTGTTGCTTTTCAATGTTGATGATTACCTCGCCTTCCTTGCTTTTCACTGGTCGTTCGGGTTCGCGGCGTTTTCCAGAGAGTATCTTTGTTATGTCATAGAGTTCTATCATGTTTCCTTCTCTTGCAGCCTTTCTCGCCGTCATTGCTAGATCTTCCACATATTTACGTTTGTCAGTTCTGATGCTCCTCTTCACTTGTTTGTTTACTCCTGTCTATTCAGCTTGTGCCTTGGCTTTCTCTGCTCTTGTTCGACTGGTTTTGATTGCTGCTTTCTTGTTCCTCCTTTCTTGAATCTTATCCAGTCTATCAACAGTGATCCATTCCTTGTGATGGCGCTTCTTGTGACCCAGGACCTCATGACATGTTGAAGTGATTGCCTCTTTGATCCTCTTCCAGTTGCTCTCCATAGAAGTTCCTTCTCCACTGAGTAGATCATGAAAGACTTGGAACTTGTTGCTGAGGACTATCTTGAATTTGTTGAGTTTGTCAGTATCCTGAAGAAAAGCCGTATTGAACAATTGTGATATTGTCCGCCCCATTGTCCAGTACTTCTTCAGTTTCAATTTCATCTTGGAGACCAGCAAGTGATGATCTGATGCTATATCAGCTCCTCTCTTAGTTCTCACGTCCTCTATAGTCCTCCTGAACTTTTCGTTGATGCAGATATGGTCGATTTGGTTTTGCGTGGTGTGATCCGGTGAAGTCCATGTGTTTTGTGAATGCGTTTATGTGGGAATATTGTGCTGCCTATGACCAGTTTTTTAAAGGCATATAGGTTTGCAAACCTCTCACCATTTTCGTTCCTTTCTCCCAGTCCGTGTGGTCCCGTGATGTTCTCATATCCAGTGTTGTCCATTCTAACCTTGGCATTGAAAACTCCCATCAGAATGGTCAGGTCCTTTGTTTGGCACTTCTCGATGATTGACTGCAGCCTATTGTAGAATTGATCTTTAGCGTCTTCATTGTAATTGTTGGTAGGTGCATAGCATTGGATGATGTTCATTGAAATGCCCTCTTTCTTTGTTTTGAAGGAGGCTTTGATGACCCTTGGTCCATGAAATTTCCATCCTATAAGTGCCTTTTGTGCTTGTTTGGACAGCATCAATGCAACTCCTTGTGTATGTGGGGTATTTTCTTCTTCATGGCCGGAGTATAACAGAAGCTCCCCTGAAGCTAGTCGTTGTTGTCCAGCTTGCGTCCAATGTGTTCCACTGATTCCGATTCAGAAAAAATCTGAATCTGAATCGCCAAAGCTAACACAGGCCACCTAGCCTACTGGTTGTTTGGTTATTGAACATTTTGTGAGGGCACTGTAAATTTCTGATCAGGTGATTTTCGGAGGCTCTTTCAAAAAGTTTTCTGTAATGTGATGCCACCTTGGGGACTGGCAAAAAAGCCTGTCAAGTTGTTCCTTAATTTCTCATTCGGACAGTTTCTTTCTCAGCCTTTGGAAGATGATCAAATTATAATAACCTCCAACGGCATTGGATGTAAAGATATATATTTTAACATTGATGTAAGATATTCTATAATTATGAATATACTCTGTAGAAACTAAATGCATTGTTATCTGAAAGTGGAATACCTGTGGTTTTCTGTGTGGCTTATATTGCTGAAGTTGTTATTTCCCTTCCATGGAGTGTCGAAATCAAGGGTATCGATTTTGTTATTCAAGCATTATCAGAAGTTTCCTCCCCATCTGGAAGTAAGTGGTGCTTAAATAATACCTCAATGTCCCATAAAAAATCTCATCACCGATATTTCTCTGTCGTAATGATGATTTGTAAAGCTTGTCTCTTAGTAATATTGAGTGTAACTTGATTAAACCAACTCAATTGTAACCACTGAGTACTTGTCTCAGGAATCGATTTAGATTCCGCTAGTATAAGTTCCAATTTTATGGAAACAAACCGACTGATTCACTGAATAGTTTTGACTTGGTACAACTTGAAATTCTGCAAGATTACCTTTCACTCTTGTGGAACCTAAACTAACCATTGTTGAGAAACAGTCACAATGTACTTTCCAAAGAATACCACAATGTAGCGTTAAAAATTTAGTTTACAAGTTTATTTTCAGTACATCTCAATGCTCACTCTCACTTCAAGAGTTACATCTGATCTTGACGACTAGAAGCAGCCAATAATTTCAAGTTTTGTGGAGGTTTTGTTTATAAACAAACTAACCAAATTTATTTATTTATTTGAACACATACATACTGGTGCAAAGGGGAGCCCTGGTACGGTTGATTCTCGTATGAGGAATAGTCATCGTTATGCTAAGCGTAGGACGTGACACGTATGTGCATAGTTCCGAATTTTTGCAACAAATTATCACATCAAGATGAAATTTCTTCGCGACGTCTCCGTGCTATGTAAGTAGTAACAGTATCAGTAATATTAGTAGAAAAACAAGATCATGTATAGAAGAAAAAAGGTACAGGGAGATTTTAGGACCCAATTTCTAGGGGTAAACAAGGAATGAATGCACCAGTTTCATTGCAAACGATTTCGAGCTGTTATTCTCTGGCGGACGCTGCTCAGAAGATTTTTTCTAAGTAGCGTGTTCCGGAACGTGTTGTCGAACTTGACACAGTTGTCAAATAGATAAAAGATCAGTTCAGCGAAAGCACATCGTGGGCAGAAAACTTGAAGACCAGTTGAGAAGACTGTTCATGTTGTAGAACACATGGAGGACGGAAATGGAGGTTATGTTTATGTATTGTGTTGATGCTTCGTAACTCCTCACAATAACTATGGATTCCTTCTGGCTATTGCCTGCTTTTGCAACATCTGTGTGTTTCAATCGCTTCACTCAATGTTTCCATTCACATCTCTAAATGGATACTGCCTATTTGAGTTTCTCGATTTTCGGCCTAAAAGAGAAATATTATCAGTACGTTGTTGCAATTGTTTCGTTTCTTGAGCGATTGTGCAATAAAATTTCGATCCCAATTGACTCATTCTAGTGATCTGTTATCTGTCTTGTTACAGATTTTATTTGGATTAATCATTCCTACTAGGCTTACAAACTTTCCAGCAATGCAAACCAAATATACAGTTAATAAATCGGTGAGAATAACAAATTCTTTCAGTCTGAGCGGTTTTTAACGTTAATTATGACTCAAACCACTATATGTTTTGCCACCTCAACACCTTTCTGTTCGACATAGATTTTAGTCATTTTGGCTTTTTCAGTGGCGAGTAAGCGGCAACGGTTAGAACTAATAACTGTACAGCAATATGACAGGTTCGAAAAATTTTGCTTTCTGATCAATTAAATTGTTTCTCCAGGTTTACGGCTTTCTGTGAAGGACATGATCTTATCTTGATAGTGTAATTCTTTTCTAAATATTACTGGTTTTTCCTAGGCTAATGCACCGATTAAAGGAACGTCCACACAAACATATAACACTATAGATACGCATAAGTAGTAAAACGTAACAAATGTGTATCACTGAAAGAGGCTAAAATGAACTATAATGCAATGGAAGAAAGGAACGAGTGAACAGAGAATAACTGAAGTGGTGAAAGCTAGAAAAATGAAACATTTGATGAAAAATATGGACAATACTATGTTTAAGGTTTTGAGGAAGATAAATGCTGAATTAATTCGCTTTGTCCTAACCAGTCTTTAGTCATATAAAATTTCCAACCGTTGAGTATAGTTGCTCCCACTATATCCAAACAGATGGTCTTCACCTTACTACACCCATCAGAGTCACTCTTCTTCAAAATAAACTCTCTTTTGTCTCTGTTTCCTGGATTTATTACTCTCCATCGCTTCAAATTAATTACAAACTCTGTTAGTTTGCTAAAGGTTGGAGTTTCAGCATCTTTCTCACTATTCTAATTATATAATTTACTAAACTACCTTTTTGTACCCGGATAGTGTTAAATTCAGAATTGTTCTTTCAGCGTTTACATCATGATATTTAAATATGACACCTAAAACGTAGGCTTTACAAAGTACCACACTATATTCATGGCATTTAGTAAACAAGTCGATATACCCTCGTCAATGAGCCTGTTAATCAAGTTCAATTGTTTAAAATCTTGTGATATTGATAATTTTTTGCTTTTTTATTTCAGCAGATGAACTGTTCAATTCAATGATATCTAGTGTATCAACCGCAGCTTTCGCTGTAGCCAAAGCTGCAAAGGATTCTACAATCCCTGACAATTTTTTCGAGGAAACGTTTACTCACACATCAGACGATGTTGATCTTAATGACAAAGAAAAAATTCCAAAAAGTTTACAAGAGCAAGCTTATCAATTTTTCGAAAATCTTACAGCTGCTGCCGAAACAATGAATGTTGGTACAAAAGGCGCAAGCTCTTACGTTGATCAAGACAGTAAACAAAGAATTGCTCATATGATCGATTCATGTAAGTATAACTATTAACTTTGAATGAATAGTCTTTATGCTTGATTACAATTTTAAAGTAACTCTACTGAAACCATATTTAATTGTCTCCTAGAATAATTTTTGTTTTTATCAAGTTACATTATTACTAAAATTGGTACTGCAAACGCTCAGTGATATTAATACGTTCTTATGACTCATATTGTTGAAACTGTCAGTAACATAAACCACGTAGCATATAGCTTTGGTTAATTTACCAAGCTTTAAAAACATCCCACAGAATAATAGAGACCACTGTACTCAAATTAAATAAGCTTTCGGGCGTTTTAATATTCATTCTCAATTGACGAAGTAGTTCGATAAACGTCTGATAATTTTATTGAATGGTATTACATAACGAATTTATTAGCTAAAATTTAACGTCTTTCGACCAATTACAATTTCCCAGACTAGAAAGTTTGGGACATAGTTGACAAATATAGCGTCAAGTATAAGCTATATTTAAAATGTATACCAATCTTGTCTCCGTTTACAAGCTTTTATTTAAACACAAAATCAGCTTGGCAACGAGGGCTTACCTAGCGTTTTACTGTGTGAGTGTGAATCAGTAGTCTTTGCATTTTTAAACTTGCTCATCGATATAATTTCACTCTGGATATGCTTTGATTTGAATATTTATCAAGTAACTAGTTTTATTTTAGGTATGGCGCATAGAATCCCATGTGCTAAGTTCTTTCATTCTACCATACACGCAACTTCACCATGCTTTTTAAATAGTAATATCGCATTACTTCTCGTTATTTCGCTACTACAATACAGTTTTCCCGTTTCAAACTGTTCATTAAAAATAAGGAGAATTCAGCAAAGAAAATTTTCTTTTCGACGAAATCATTTACTCAAGTTGTATATTCTTATTTATAGTTGTATGGTAAATATATGTCTATATAAGGATGGAAAAGATTGCACCATAAATTAATAAATACGAATGTACAGATTAAGTAAATGATGTCATCGAGAAGAAAATCTTGTTCGCTATATTCTCTTTACTTTTTATTCAATAATACAATGAGATATTTTAAGTCGTTATTATTACCAAGTAATTAATGTATGTATTCATCAATGTTCGAGTACTATTTATTTACTTGGACACATAAATATCGGTAAAAAAGGGCACCGAATACATATGATTCACACAGGTCACTTTATTTATGTGTGGGCTGTGATACTGCCCGATTGCTCAGACCGAAGCAGGTGGTTTTCTTAGGTGGCCACATCAAGAGTTTGACCTAAACGTCTGACCCACGTGGCAGTGGAGCAACGTTAGGAGATGCACTACCATGTTAGCCTGTGACCAACAATTTTTTCATACGCCATTTGTTCCTTCAGGATCCTGGAGCCCATGTGCACCATTGGTTTGGAATCAGGGTTTACCAACACCTTTAGGTGGACTCTCCACGTCCACCATCCCGGTTAAAGCGCCGGACATTCGCTTTTCGTTCTCTCATTTTCGTAAACAACAGTAATGCCGCGAGAAAGCAGTGAGTAGGACTTCCCTGGCAGTGGCCGTGCACGCGTGGCCATGTGAGGGCATTTCGAGAGAGATGACTCTCCCCACCCTCGGCCGTACCAGGGCACTTGGGGGCTATTAGTACTAGGCTGTATCCTCAAATAGTACAACTTCACTCATGCATTCACTTTTGTAAAACATTCTTTCGAACCAATAGTTGAATGTTTCTTCGTTTTGTTGGTAACATCACGTATGTTATCGATCGCCGCGAACTGGGCATAACATCTTTATAGCATCAATATAAAACTCTAATAATTCTTCATTATACTTCATAAACCACAAAATTATATAAACTCATATCTTCCTTTTCATAATTCAACAAGAATATCGGTGTTTCATCTATTAAATCACTAGTAATAGGAAGTGAGTAAAATCTAGAAGTATATGTTCGGTCTACGTTTCTCAAAATTGGTCATGTAACGTTATATATTTTATAAATTATTTCATTTGCTTACCAACATTTTCTGTTCATAGTACTGGTAAAACGTACTGACCACTTGATTAATATGCTGTACGTGTACCACTAACATTCTTCTTTATTATTTTAATGGAACATTATACTAGTGTTGTTTTTCTTTTCTACACTACACTTTTTAGTGATTGCACAGACCACTATAGTTCTACGCGATGTTAGTATTCGTATTGAATGTGAATTAAGACTTCCTGGAATAGATCGTGCCTCAGGATTAACCTTAACCATTAAACATTTATCTATTTCAAATCAATATAAGACTGAAGAAAAACAACAATCAACTCCATCGAATACATCCAGCAGTGGTCGTTGGTCATGGTTATGGTGGTGGCAAAGTTCAAATAACAATAACGTCCGTAAGATTTTAAAACTTCTACCTTTTTATTGTATTTGTACTGTAAATTTGGTATGAATATTGTATTAATTGGGGTAGCATTTTGATTTATATGATAAAGACTAGTGTAGTTACTATCGCGTATGATTTAAGTCTAAATGGTTATTTAGCACACCATTTCAGAATGTAGTGTTTTCTCTTCAATTTTCTCTTTTGTTGAGTTATTATGAAATCTAGTAAATAAAAAACGATTTATCATGTAAGAGAATGCAGGCTACTTTGAACAGTTTTTTTTAATAGTTTTCATCTGCATCGTGATATGCTTTCTATACATTTGTTGAATAATGCCGAATTCTGAGATCAATTGAATACTAAGATACATTTTTTTTACAATATCACTTGTTGTTTAGATCAATCGGTTCAAAGGATAACTTGAAACTGATTTTAGTTAAGAATTTCAAACTAATTATCGACTCGTATCGTTTTTATAATAATTAGTATTATTGTTATTATCTTTATAATTTTCATTATTGAGTATTTCTCTATTGCGAACAGATTGACCATTGAACTATATACTCTCTAAATAGCCTAATCTAAAAATATATATGATATTTTTGTAAAATCGAAGAAATCAGCTTATTCTACTCATAAATATCAGTAGATAGTTATGTGTCAGAATAAAAAGATAAACTATGGTATATCGACGACTGCGAATGTTTTCAATTGTGATATTTGATGAATTTTAATAGAATACCAATATCTTATTAGTTTGATGATATTGTTTTGAATTTTTACATTTTAATGTTTCTAGTTTTTCTGTAACTGTGACATTCGATAAGATTATTTAAATGATTGTTTTAATTATTTCAACTAGTGGACCCTAACATTTGTTCAGTAAACATTCGAGTAATCATCAAGATGGATAATGATATCAGCACTTACTTTAACCCCAACTTGTGTTATTATCCTTCCATCAAGTCATTGACTGCTGGATTGGCCCGCGCCAGCAGATAAGGTCTACCAGGTTAAATTCTTCAGGATCAACCTATCCAATAGTTGGAGACGTTGAATGACTTGTGTCGAAATCGGTTTTAATGGTTCAGAAGTATTTACTCTTTGTCGTCCCTTAGATCTTGAGTTTTAAAATTATCTAGTACTTTCTACTCCAGTAATTCATTCTTTCTCTCTGAAAGTCATACTGCCTATGACTAGTATTTTTTAATATTGCTCCCGCTTCTACTACTCTGGCGTTTACCCTAATAATTTCATCTCGCTATGTTGACCTAACATGGCAACTTAAAACGATTCGTATATGTAGCAGATTCTACGTTGCTTACGACCGTCTGTTATTATTCCCTCCTAGTACTACTGTTGCTTTCTGTTTTTGATGAAAATCAGAAGTTGTACATTTTATGCAGTTGAAGAAAAAAATAGATAGATTGTGGATACAATTACGGTGTTGCTGTTTTTTATTTTGCTCAACTTAGTTCTAATTACCAAATCTTCGCTATTGGAAATTTGTCTATATCTTACTTAGATGTTCATTTTAAACGATATGTTAGCAGCACCTAAGTAAGTATATTTCACATTAAGGATCAACCTTAAACAATCATTGAAAATTAGGGGACACTGGACAGCTACTTCGTCTCAGTATGGGACTCCTCAGCTGCGCGCATCCACGACGGCACCAGGGCTTAATCCCTGGTGAGCACCCAACCTTTAGATTCTTGAGGTGATTGAACATATATTTTTCTAACAGTCTTTTTTCTTTCCAGCTACCGGAAATAGCTCAGTATCATCATCGTCATCTACTAATTCTACCTCTACACCAGCCGGAAGTTTATCAACCATGTTGCATAAAATCATCCACTTGGAAGAGGCTGATTTATTCTGGGATTTATGGAGTACTTCTGGTCATGTGCAAGGTTGTTCAAGCTTGTGTAGTTCTCTAGATCCAAGCCAACCTCCATGCTCTCCACTTCCTAACAAGGTGAATATGGTGTAAAACGCTACTGCTCTACAAACCTTAAGACTGGATTTTTTTATTATCCTTATTTGTTTTTTATCTAATATATTTAGTCACACTAAATATTGTCGAATCACATTATTTTTCTCAGGATCATGATTACGTTTGATGAAAATACTAGCAATACTAACTAACTGATGTAAGATTTTGTCCAAAGTGACTAGTATGTTTAATAATTTCTCAAATCTTTTCGCATGATTATCTCAACCAGCCGTTAGAGACTGTGAATGACACGGCTCAAAATCGTTTGCAATGGCGCAGATTCGTCCATTCTTTGTTTTGCCTTATACTCTAAGCTTCTGAATTCCTCATAGTTATCTTATTTCACCAATTTATATTTTCCTGATATCGTATCTACTATGTTCAATCTTCTTTATCACCATTAGTACTGTTCCCAGATCTACTACTATGGTACTTAACCTAACAACTTCATCTCACCATGCTAACAGGTTGTGGCAATTTGAGCCGATGTACTCACATATCAAATTCTGCGTTGCAACTAGCTGGCTGATCGTTTTGAGGTAGATCTTTTGTTTAAAGGCAGCCTCGGTCGAATTAGATTAAGCAAAATTTGAATCTGTAACGTAATAATTGACTAGCCAGTGCTTTGATCAGTAAGCCATCTTTCCAGTTTGAAAACAGTGGATACCAACTAATGTCAATTTTTTGAAAAGATTTCAGATTGATTTCCTTCTCGTACCATGGTTGTCAAACAGTTTACTTGAGGCTTTTATTTTTATAGATCTATAATTTGAACATTGTTAAACCATAGTTTTACACCATTACTCATTTGTGAAACTAAAAACATTGCTACCTCTTTACTTTCTCATATTTAACGTTTACATATATTTCGTTATTTGGTTATTGGATGACTATTTATTTACTCGTTTCGTGCAACATCAAGTACTTCAAACAGTTGTTCTGAAATCGCGGTTCTTATCTAAACTTTCTAACTTCAATGTGTGTATGCTGATATGGATCTAGTAGTAAATTGGTATGCCTAATATTATATATATATATATATATATATATATATATATATATATATATATATATATATATATATATATATATCACATATAGAATTAATGATATTACAAAATATCTTTTCTATTTTTACATGGCTAATTATCTTGGTTTGTTGAATTAGTTTCGTTAAAATGACAAAAAATCGATTAAGATATTTAATAACTTCGACTATTGTGTATTTCATGTGATTGCTTTCAACGTTTTGTATAAAATACCGTTTATATTTTATTCTTTATGTATTTACAGACATGTGGTCCAACAGCTGATACACTTGTCTCATCAGCTAAACTTCTAACGTTATCTGGTTCAGAGCATACTGCGCGATTGAGTTTACGTGTTGGTTCCGCATTGAATGTGTCACACAGCCTTACACCTTCAAATATACAATTAGATGATCTACCACGAACGATTAATACTGATACTAACAACTCTAACACCAACTTGGTTAATATGTCAGACTTTCAGTTACGTTTACATGTGGACTTGGGACCTATTGTTGCTTGTGCTTATCCTAGTCAGTTTTACTGGTTACACATGATGATTGGTCAACTTGTACATATTTATGACGACTATATAGAACATAGTAAAAAGATATCAGAACAAACTAAACTAGAAAATGATATGACATATTACTATTCTGATTTATTAACAAATAACAATTTATCAAATATAATGGATGAGAATGGTTGTATCAGTGTAGCTACATCAACTTTGGTAAGTTTTACTTGTCACTCCCTCCAGCTTATTTTAATAAATTAGTTTCCGGTAGATTGTTTCTCCTACTTCTATCGAAAATGAATCCAAACCAAATAATCGATTACTCACTGTTTGATCCCTTGTTTTGTCATTTGAGATGTCTAACTTACGATACCACACCGGAGTAAAATGGTCATTAGAACTATTCCATCATAACTTGGTCAAGCATAACTTATAAGATCTATTTCGAAACGTATGGATATGTTATGAATTCAATAGACCAAACTATTTTGTATCTGGACATAAAATCGTTATTTATAAATAAGCCGATTAATATAAATAATTGATTCTATATGCGTACAACTATTGGAAAAAGTATTTGCGAAGACTAGTAAATAAAGTGAGGAAACTTATACTGGAATGTATGATAAGCATCCAAATTATGTTTGGTAATGAACTTTATAGACAGACAGATTAAGGTTTCCTCTCGGTACGATTTTAGCTTATATCTTGCTAATGAAATTGGAAAAAAAATACTGCATGGCAAACTGCAAAAGTTTGAATTTTTAATGCCATCACATAGATGCCATACTAATTCTGTACAATAAAAGTGTCATAAATAAGAACTTTTGAACACTTAACAATTGTCATCCCGCCATTAATTGTACCATCGAAAAAGAACATGTAAACTGTATAGCTTTCTAAATGTTTTCTTCAAAAAGATGAATGGGTTCGTAAGAAGGAATATATTTAGAAAGAATGCATAAACTGGGCATTATGTCGATTTTCTTACCTTCAAACCTTTACAGTACAGAACAAATATAGTTAAATGTCTCAACCACAAAGTGAAATTATTCGGTTCCGAGGGTAGTGTAGATGCAAAAATAAAACTTCAGAAACTGTTAAATAACAGTTTTCTTGTCGATTTCATCAAAAAATAAAAGTCCGTACCGAAAAGTAGAATAAAAACAGTAATGATGAGTAAGAGAGCCTCTAATGTAGAGGACGATTTAAATGTAACAGTTGAAAATATTCTGGCACATTGAATTCACATACCTATTGAAATTGTTTTTGTTGCTTTTCGATTGCACATCAGCTCAGCTAAACTAATATTCACAATAAATCAAAGATATAATATCATCAACGTGTGTATATCTATTTAAATACTCACGTGGATCTAGTTACATTAGTTACAGATAATACTAATCGTTTTCGATAAGTTTAAATAAACAACCATTTGTGATGTATTTTTTAACTAATAGACGAAACATCTAGTGTCATATTAATATATATTTCTCAGATCTTTTTTTATCTGTTCGAACTCATCAAGTTCGAGGTTGTTCTTGTCGAATATTTTCCCGATTTCGATTTTTACTATCATACGCTTATGATATTGAATTTACCTCAGAAAAGGTAAATCAGACTTGTAAATATATAGAATATTCTTACTATAATTTCATACATTCCTCAGTTGGTATCATATTACTATGTAACACAACTAAGAAAAAAATCGATCCAAAGTGAAAATTCCAATTTAATCGGTGGTTGTTCAGAATTTGAAATGTTTACCAAATGGGTTAGCTAAGCGGTTGCTTGAATAGTCCTAATAACAGTAGAGATATATGACTCAGTACATAGCTGGAGAATATTTATTTATTTTAACACATAGATATTCGTACAAAGAGGCACCAAATACATATGCGCCACACAAATCTCATTCGATATGTGTGAGGGCTGGGATACTGCCCGGGTGCCCAAACCGAAGCAGGTGGTTTTCTTAAGGGGCCACTCCCCGAGCCTTCGACCTGAAGGTCTGACCCACAAGGCAGTGGTGCATCGTAAGGAGATGCAGTCCCATGGAAGCCGGTGACCAACAATTGATTCATACGCCATTTGTTCCCGCAGGATACTGGAGCCCATGTGCACCACCAGTTTGGAATCCGGTTAAAGCGCCGGACATTCGCTTTCGTCCTCTCATTTTCGTAAACAACACCCCCGCCACGAGAAGGCGGTGAGTAGGACTTCCCTGGCAGAGGCTATATACGCGTTGCCATGTGAGAGCATTTCGAGAGGGAGAGCGGACTCTCCTCACTCTCGGCCATACCAGGGCATTTGGGGGAGAATAAAATAAAATCCGTTGATTTGTAAAGAAACATTCTGTTAGAAACAGCATCAGCTCCGAGTTGGCTTGGTTCATTTTGACTGGATTTGTTTATTGGTGCCACGTTTTATTTGACAGAATTCATTGTATTGCAGTACTCAGCATTAGTGATTAAACTGAAGTTAAAGGAAGTTCGGTGCACTAAAATGCCAAAAGGACTATAGTATGACATCATGAAGTGATAATGGAATGGTTAGTTATGTATAGAATACTTCAATAATATGATAACTTGAGGTGGGCTTATAAAAGTATTAGCGTGATGGAAAATTACTGCCATGTTGCAAATTAATCTCGCTATCGTAATGTCAACTTAAGCCGATGGACTTATCTGTCAGGTTCTACGTTGTGTATGTTATTTAACAGTGATTAACCGCAGTGTCACCTTTTCATGTTTTAATCAAAAACCATGTATCAATCTATTTATTCTTTTTAAAGGCTTAATACTGTCAATAAAAACTCCCTATTTTCCAAAAAATATGTTTTAGAGTTTGTTAGAGGTCATTGAATGTCCAGTATTGTAGATAATGTTACAAATGAAGTTGAAGTAGTTTTTATTTCTATCAGAAACTTATTCATAAAGCAATAAATCAATTTTACAGTTGTTATCTTGTTTTACATAAAACACATCAGCCATTTAAATGAACCAAATATTCGAATGGCTACATATTTAAACAGAACTAGCAATCTACTAACTTGGCATCTTATTACTGGATATTTATAGATCCCTATAAGCAACTAGTAAATAATCCAATCACTTTCCTCCTCATTCTTAATATCTGTCTTACGCCACTAAAGTTGTAAATAAATGGACTTGTTTGCCACAAATGCTCAAACATGAAGTTGAGCTATCCACACAAATTCCGAGTAACACAAATCAACTGTCTACTGACAAAAAGTTATTCATTTCTGCCATTAAATCCTTAAAGCAATTATCTAAACCAATCATGTCATGAATGTGCTTTTCATTCCCATAAAGTATTTAAATTCAATACTTATAAGAAATATATAACTAGTTCTGTAAATAAACTACCAGGAATGCCAATTTTACCTCAATATTTTTACCTTTTTAATGAAGAACACTCGGATTAGCAATTTAAAATAAGCTCAAGTTGTTTGATTTTTCAAGGCACAATCATATTATGTAATATGTTTGCTAATCTTTTTCTTTGTTCAAACATATTCATTAGTTCCTGTTGTAATATTTTTTTAATCAATAAACACTTCCAATAGTAAATTGATTCACGAGAATTTGTCTGTATATATATAATGTCACGAGTTTGTCTCATTATTATTATTTTTATATATCAAACTACGTAAGTTCTGTCAGTTGTTTCGTGTGACTATGGAATTTATCATGTGTTCAGGATATCATATAAAGAATGTACAGGAAACGTTTTGAAATGTTTTCAAATTTGAATCAATCCATTGTATATGTATCCGTGCGATTTCACCTTTTCGAAATGGATCCATATAAACGTCTACAGGTTAATACTTTTTATATTCTGTGTAATATTTATTGGATTTCAGGAATCGTTTAAAGTATGGTGAATTCTTTCTGTGTTAGTTTATGTATTACTTCAATTTGATTGTGTTCTTGTTAATAGATTTGCCAAGGTTTCATCATTTTCCATTCTGTGAGTTTGAAGTTAGTTGCTTAGTTTATAGTCACTTCAATCCTCAAGTCATTTGAGATATTTTAAAAGGGCTTTGAATGTATTTCAATAAGCAGCTCAACTAATAATTAAACATTGATATCTTTGTGACAAATTAACTATAGTCATTCACACTCCAATAAATTAAGCCATAACTAACAAATTTAACCTCCCACTTCACCCTATTGTAAATGTTCATACGTCTGTACACGTTTATCAGTTTTATTATTGTTTTTGTCATCTAAGATAACACTTGTGTGATGATCAGTGAGTCACCCACTCATTTTTTTCATTCTATTTCTTATCCTTCAGAATAAACATATTGGTGATTATTCGGACCATAGAAACTATCAAAAACCCCATTCGCCTTTGCGTAATAAACCTAGAGAAGCTCATCTAATTGATTTAGATTTAACACCGAGCCCAATCAACCCTCAAAATCTAACCTCTACAATGCTAAGTAAGTTATATAAATGATCTATTCATATATATGCACACCATCTATCCAAGATAATGTAAACTATTTGTTAAAGCTACTATTTTTCGAAACAGTAGTATTAAACCTAACAAGAAAAATATCTCATAGCTCATTCTTGTAACTATCATTTTATATTTATTCAGATAGTGAATTATTTCGCTCCTGTTTGAGTGATGTGTCAACTACCACGATGTATGGAGATAATGCCATTCCAAACCAACATTTTGGTGAGTTGCTTTTTCACTTTTAAAATCTTAGTTAACTAATATTTAACCGTTTATTATTTTGAAGGTTTTCATAGAAAATACTCTTTGGAATTTCACCATGGAGTGAATAGTATTTTGTTTTGATTTTAAATTAAACAAAGCGTTTGTTTTTAATCCCTTAATCTAATTTATTAGGATCTTTAATATAGTCAGTTCACTATTAACAGCGACAGAATTGAAATCATGTTTATTATCATTATCTAGCCACAAATCTTTCTAGTTACCGTCTTACTGACTCATTATCATCTATTTTATTTACTGTGTGAAAGTAGAAAATAACAGAACTTCGTAAGTAATACCTATGTTTCTCGTAGATTATCGGCTGATATAATTATTAAATAGTTGAAATGGTAAGTTTTACTTTTTATCAATACTAAAGAAAGCTGAATATTTAGATTGATTTCAGTGCTGGTATGTTTTAGAAAATGTTTTTCGTCTAACTGCCATTTCTTGTCTAATTTGCAACTCTGCTTAGCTTCTGTACTAACGCGATGATTGTTTGATAGTATTTCGTTATTTTTTAAATAAAATACGATTTGAACAATTGACTAGTGTCGGAGACGGTTGGAAGAAAGTTAGAGCGGCCAAACCAAAACATGGCGTCAGTCCTCAGAGTCACTAACTTCTGGTCTGAGCTATGTTGGTAGATTTAGGCTACTTGGTTGGGTCCTGCGCGACTATCGCAACCAATGGTTGGAGACTGTGGGTGACATGGCTCAGGATCTATCACAATAGCGTCGGTGTATACACATTTGGTCTTCCCTTAAACCGTGAGATTACAATTGCTTTAAATGTTTCTTTCTGTGAACTAATTGTTTCTTCCTGCATTATATCCTTATATGCATTCTTTCTTTTACATATTACTACCATTAAAGTAACTACTTGTATGAATTCGATGTTGACCTTGTTGTGCTATTGAGGTATGGCAACTTGGACCGATACATATATTTACCTGGTCCTACATTGTAGCTAACTGATTGATTTGATAAACAAACATTTTTTCAGTTTTTCAAAACTTAAGATTTAATGCAAGCCATCAAATTATGTGTTACTAATCATTGTGATTTATCTCACTTGAAACAATCTTTTAATCTTCAATAACGACAAATGAATGACGTTCACTTTGTTTCCAACTTTCTAAATTACCTCATAATTTCTTTTTTATTGCACTAATCTATATTTTCTTCTAGAATCGTATCTTCTATACCTAATCTTTTCTATCATTAATAATATTGTTACTACTTCTACTGCTATGGAGTATACTCTGATAATTTTATTTCAATATACTAACCAGGTATGATAACTTGAACCGATATACACATGTGTACCAAGTTCTACGTTGCTCACAACTGACTGATCAACTTAATTCTAGTGCACAACAATGTCTGTCACTATCGGTTTATATGAATTTTGTGCAAGTCAGATAATTAATTTTCAAAATTCACTTCATTTTATGTTTTGTATTAATGTGTTTTCATGAAACCTTTGTTAATTGTAACCATTTTTTTATTAATAGATCATCTCTACTTACCAAAACCTGATAGTAATAATGATTCAGCTCAAGTAGCTACAAAATGTAGTATGTCAGTAAATATACTATGTATAGCTTTTGTAGCTTTTTATGAAGATGAATCTGTATTGACACGTGAACAGATAGCTGAAGGAACTTCATTTTCCGCATCATCTAATATGAACTCCTCTGTACATAATTGGCGATCAAATGAAGAGAAGTTATTAAAAAAAGATGATTCACTAGGATTGAATGAACAAGATTCACTAAATGCTGATGAGATAAATGATACAAGTACATTACCAGAACATCAGTCACGTAATTGTGGTGATAATAAGTATTATGGTCATAATAATAATGATAATTCTGCTGGCTCTTACTCTACAACAACTGGTTGTACAGCGATATTACCAGGGCCATCAATATTTTTTGGACGATTTCATGGTCTCATACCAACTCCAAATTGTCGGTTAAAATCTGATAGTGCTCGCAATCAATTAGATGATAACGAAGACGGGGTGGATATGCTGCATTCTAAGTGTCAACCGATGATTATTAACCGTCAAGATGTGGATACTGGTCGTATGTCTCCTTCGGAATGGGTATCACATTTGAAATATCAATTTTCCAATATGGCTTATCCTCGTGATCATCTATGGTGAGTTTACTGTGTGTACAAAGTTATTCTTTTTTTATGAAAGTAAGAAATTATATAATTTGTGGTGAGTTTATCTTTTATGTGGAAGTGTAAATATTTTGAAACATTTAAAAATTACTCGGAACTATAAATCATTTTAAGTAGGTTGTTAGAGAAAGAACCATAATTTTATACCTGTACGAGAAACACAAAACACACTTATCAAACCATATATATTCAAGTAGGTAATATTGTGTGATTAAAGCAACTAAGATTATCCCGAGTTTTATTTTCTGTAAATCCGTCAACATACACTTATTTTCACAGATTGAAATCATGAGTCAGTTGAAGCTAGACCACTATTGAAAACCTGGAAGCACTGGACGGCCGTTTCATCCTAGTTTGGGACTCCTCAGCAGTGCGCATCCACGATCCCGGTGGTCTAGCTTCAACTGACTCTTGATTTCAATCTGTGAAATTTCTAAAATCTCCACAAAACGCATTCTGATATACTTATTTTGTTAGCATTTGAATCTGGCACATATGATTCGCCTTATTTAATTATCATCCACTTTAAGTTAAAATCCAATTATTGTCGGATATCAACATACTCAAACTCCCTTCATATTCCTTTTGGGACACCACAATAATACTTAACTTATATCCCATTATTCTTTTAACTGAGTTTCTTTCAACGTACCAAAACCCAAAAGAATAACTGCTATTCACAGATTTTGCTATCACTCCATTAGAGTGATTTAATCGGATAATTATACGACCTAGGTTGATTATTTATTCTTAAGTAATAAGTAATTCATATAAAGATTGCTCCCATCATTTTTTGAAATGAGAACATGTAGTAATTATGACTCTCAAATTTAGCTTTTGGGTCCCAGGTTCGAACCCCTTCCTCACCTATTTTAGTTTATGCAACTGAATAGTGTCATTAGACCTCACAATTAGAGTATGGCTCATACTCAATTAACTAGTGAATAAGCTAATTGTATGTTATAGTACATATTTCCTCCTTTGTCTTGAAAGATTTATGTGAACTAATTGCATGTGATTTAATCAATCTCCATACGTTCTAGTTTTTCTTTGTGGATATATTTATGTTTTTTCCAACACAAAACAAATAAAAACAATGAACGGAAACAGATGAATTTTAATTAATTATTGAAACAGGTGCTGTTTTATTGATTTGCACAAGAGGAGAGATACATTAGTTTATTATAATTTCAATTATTTTAAGAGAAATTCTATAGTTGCTCTGGTTAAATAGTCAATGTGCAATAATTACTTAAAATTTAAAGGAAATTTTCAAATCCATAAAGGGGTGAGAAACGAAAATTGATTTGTCTGTATAGTGATAGGATGTTATATCTTCGCATGATCACCTTTTGCGTATTACTAGCGTAGTCCTATACTGACCATCATGCGATGTCATGTCAAACGTTAACTAGGCATACGTAATGTATAACTTGGATAAAATTCACAATGTTATCAACCGAATCCATCATCTCTGTTTAGTGTTGCCTCAAGCATTGTCTCAGTACTACTAACTTGATACTCTTAATTTTTGTGAGCAACGGTTTATAAGTATAAATAATCAAATGTTAATTTGTGTTTGTTACCTACCTCGCTCATTCTGTTACGACTTCTGTCTCTGTCAATTATCAAGTGACAAAATCGCTAATCAGAATAACAACCTCTATGATCTTGTTCCTGTATTAAACCAATGACATGTTAACTAGTACTAGCAATCTTGCGTCAACTCTTAATCTTTATTGGCCCTCAATATAGTAGCTTCCCGCCTAGACCTGCTCGTTGAGTCCAGAATAGAATATTAGCCTGCGCTGTATGAATAATATATTTCAGACATACGTAGTTTATATACAAGCAGAATAGACCGTATCATACCATAAAATGAAAAACGATGATTAAACAGAAACAAGCCAAAAGTGGTTGTGAGTGTGGGAGACTGTAACTAATAGCTTGAGAATAAATTAACAATAGTATATCGTATTATAGTAGCTAATGGATCGAACGAAAGCACATCAGAAAACCAAGAATTTAAATTCAAATCCTTACATTGAGCTAAAACAAACGATCTATATAGAAGTTTTTTAGTCGGATTATCCTTACAATAAATTTGACTTCATTTTATGTCACTTTAAAAATAGTTTTGGCTTTGTTGACCATAACTATTTTCTGAAAAGATTGATCGGTGAGAGGTAGACATTACTAGGCATCAAACTACTAAACTATATAATATGACTCAGAATCGATAACATTGACACTGAAGTATTCCTTCTTTGTCTACCCTTCGATTCCTTTGTCTTTTTAAAAAATAATTTCATACCATTGTTTAATCTGCAATTTGATTCTCTCTTCTTAGATCGTATTCTCAATACTTAATGTTTTGTATTATCAATTGCTTTGGTAGTCATCTTGATAATTTCATTTGGTTTTGCTGATATAATATGACAACTTAAATCAATGCATGTATATGCCAAGTTGTACATCGTTAATGACTGAATTCTTTATCCATTCTGTAAACTTGACATTAAATACTCACTTTTAATTCTTCATAGTTTATTCACGTCTAACTGTCTATATTGATTAATGAGTTTAGTTTAATGGATTTATACATGTATCTGACTTCTAATTGGTTGTATTATTCTAAATGATGATAAGTAGTTATGAAATTCTTATAATTCAGAAAAACAAATTAATAATTATTATTGTAAATCACTTATTGTACAGTACATAACATTTATTCAGATCAATAATCTCTTTTACTCTCTTATATGATACTGACAAAAATTCATTACTGTATGATATATGGCATTTCTAATGATCTGTTTCAAAAGATTTCATGCAATTAGTTCCCTTAATGAATTTAAATAATACCAGAACAAATATTGATGCAGAATAATATGAATACATATTTGATTGTAAACAGCTGACGAGCAACCACGAAATATAATGAATTCATATTATTCTACATCAATATTTGTTCTGGCTTTATTCAAAAGATTTCAAATATTTTTTTTATTGATATGGACCCTTGACACTGTTATAAGTTGCTTTTCTATACATTTTCATATTTAGTAAATTGCATGTGACATTAAACTTTAATACGTGTTTTTAAAAAAAATTCTTTTCTAAAGTTTATTGACAGTGCAATCACATTTTATATCCGTCTTATTTAACATGATCTTTTATATCTCTTTTTATTCTTGACGTGATTGACTGTTTTTTTTTTCATTTCAGTTTTGGTTAACTTATCTCACGAAAATAATTATTTAACTCAGTAATTATATTTTGAATTAGTTATTGGTAAGGAATATAGATTATAATTTTAAACCATTAGTTGTCTATTTCAAAATGCATTATGATTTTTTTCCATATATAATGGTATAACTAACACAAGTTCATATTGCATGTGTTGCATTTAAGTCTTCTCAAAAAAAATTCAACGATTACCGTCAGATGAAAATCTCGAAAATGGTTATTATTAAATAAAGTTCAAATTGATGTTATTATGCTAGATATGTAGTTTATTTCTATCTTAATAATTTTCTTCATGATGTCATATGGATGATTTCTACCAGAGTAATTAGCATTGAATCAAGTTAGATACGAAATTAGACTGGTGTTCAATCTGAATCAGTTGTAAATGATTAAACATAGTGTATTTATCTGGTAATGGTAGATTATTCATCTAAATTCATCGTTACTGAGTGGACTTAACTCATGGTTTTATACAGTCTTCAGCATTAACAGTTCATTGCATTTACCAAGCCAATTGGGTTTGACCATAAAAGCATTATATTAATGATTGAATCATTTTAGATTGTAGATTTGAAACTGTGTTTCATCAATTTTGATTTAGCGCAAAGTTGTGTACATAAACCTGTATTCGATAAATAAGTTATATGTTTTTTTCTTTATGAATGTGCACAGAATAATAATATTTCTTGGTATCTCAATCCAAGTTGAAGTGTGTTCCTTAGTACAGGATAGTAATCTTACGGAACATCGCAAAATTCCAATAAAAGTTTGATCAATATTCAATAAATTAGTAGATATGTATTACCCTTAGTTCGATTTCTTTCGAATATTTTTACACTATGCATCATACGCCAAGTAAGTAGTACGTGATTATGAAAGAACAATTACACTAAACTACCTAAGTCTATATAGATTAAAAAGGCACACAAGCAATCTGAAAACTTCACTTTTCTAGCTCTCATACAATTACTAAGCAACAAAAAAAAGAAATATCAACGGTGATAATATGTTTACTTTTCTAACAATATCTACTCCTAACTAACATATAAAACTGCTCTATATACTCGAAAAATTGATAAAAATCTAGAAATTTTCCTGATGTTACTTGTAGAATAATTATAGTATGTACTAGTTACATATAGTTTTTGTATCCATTCTAAAAGAAAATTTCACCAGTTTTTTGATGTGTTAGACTTACTTTCTTAAAGTATTTATCGAGCACTCAATCATTATCTGATCAGTTTTACAGAAATTATCAAAAGTCTTACAAATCTATTTCAAACTGAACAAAAAAGCATTTTAAACAGTTTTACAAGTCGATTTTTATAGAGAAAGAATTTAATTTAATACTATTTTAACGATTAATTCATTATAATGTGACTGATTATGCTTGTTTTGTTATAATATTGATTTATTTTCCAATGTTTAACGTTGAATAAGTTCATCATGTCTCTTCTTATTGTTTATACTTCAACTAGAGTTGGGGGGTATTAATTAATACTCACTAACTAACTGGTTGGTTGACTAATAAATGCGGGTCGTATTCTATTATTAATCGCCAGCTTAATTAATTCTATTCTAATTTCATCTGTGTACATGTTTGCGGGATTTTTCATCTATAGAATATTATTTTTGGAGTGCCTATGATACTGTTAATAAATATTCATGGTAATAACAGCAGTATTTCTCATCGGCTTATATCAAGCTCTCGTACTGATTTTCAC